TAGAATGAAAAGAAGATATGTTGAGTCATTAAGTAAAACTGATTTTCTTCTCGAGTAAAAATAGTTTTAAAAAATTATAGTAAGCCAGAGAAAATTTATTTTTCTTAAATACAAAAAATGCTTGCTTAATATTTAGTAATTATTAAATAATTAATATTAACATTTAATATAATATTTTATATACATTAATGTTATTATAGGTTTTTTATTTATAAGTGTCTTATATCTGTTATATATCTTTGTTATATATCTTGTTTTATCTTGTATTGTTGCTTTATTGATTCTATTTTTTTTATTCTTTCAGATTGTATTTCTTAGCTACAACTGGCATTCTCCTTTAAAAAAAAAAGCAGCCATTTCCAAGGATTGTGGTACATTCAGTTGAATTCTCATGAAAGATACATCTTTTCAGAATTTTAAATTGTGTTATAGGAATATATAGTTATATAGAACAATTGGTGAATAAGATATCTGCTCATTGGTAATACGAGAATTAAGAACAACTATTTTTTAATCGATTGTACTATAACTGCAGTACAACTTGTGTACATATACATATATATATATATATATACATATTTGCATTTAAAGAAAGATTTTTCGTTACTTTAATTAGATAAAGAAAGAGAGGGAGATCTGCTTAAAGTATAAGAAAATGAATATAAAAAACCAACAGTGAGATGTCTCCATTTTTTAAAATTTTTATTCCACAGTCACTTATATCAATATAATAGTGACATTACATCTTTTTAATTTGTGGAAATTAATAAGTAACTATGATTCATTTTTGAAAACATTTTTGTCAATTCGCTAAAATTATCTTAAACGATATATGGTACCGCATTGTTCCTAAATCAATGTAATTATTGCCATTCTTACAAGTAAGTATTCTATAAAACCAAATGCGTAATTATCAATATAATTATTTATTTTTTAGACAATATATTTTCTCGCCTGAGTTATAAAATATATGAAAAAATTTATATATAGAGTATTCTTTTTTTTATCATTACTACGGTAAATATTTCCGTTATTTTTGTATGATGTGTAGGAAAAAATTATTTGCTTTAACTAGAAGGACCGAGGTAGCCAAATTTAGTTCCTCGCGAAATTCAAACTAATATAACTTTTTTCAATATAACTTTTTGCTTCTACGTGATATCCTTTTGTGACTTTTCAGTATTTTTCATGTTCTTAATTTTAGTAAAAAAATTTTCAATTACATAAAATGGTTGAATTTTTTTTTAATTGTCTAGAAAGATTATTGGAGCCAATTTAGCTTCTTTATCCCGTTTTTCTAGTGTTAAAAGAATAAAATTTGTGATTGACGAAGACATTTTCATAATTAGTAAAAGGACATTTTATATCTTACAGAAACGTCTTATTTAACGTATTTTATGTTGTTACATTAATTTACGTTATATTAGGTTATACTTGATTGATATGATTTATCTTTATCATACAATTGTTGACGGGATAAACAGGTTTATGAAAAAAAAATTTTGTTACAACGTAATAATTCCATAAAGTAATGCCTTTCCGTGAGATCGACTTAGCACGCTTACTTTAAATGACTAAAATGACCTTAATAGCTATATATGACTAATTAATCAATTTTTAAGTCTCGTATATCATTGTAAATATACATGTATGTCATTTATATTGATGGACGATCAATATATTCACTTAATACGCTTCTTATGTGTATGCGTTATTATTCTTACTATACCTGATACATCTATATGAATTCTATTTACTTACAATTTAGATTGAAAAATTATTATAATAGATCCAAGTGTGGAAAGCTTGGCAAACATTGAAGAAGTTTGTCTATACAGGAGCATTGATGAAGTGAAATATATTGATTAATTAGCATGAGGATATAATATGTTATCTAAATCTGTGATTGAAAATACATGCAGTTCTTAATTATTAATTCTAATGGTTACATGATCTGTAAGTTAATATGAATAATAATGAATGTATTTTTAACTTCTTTGATTCTTCATTATTATGATCACAGAAAACTTATAGAATGTAAAAGAATGTAAATGAGTTACAATAATAAAATATTATTTTATACAAATTTAAACTATAAAAAATTTTCCTTAATTGTTTATTTTGTGCTTAATGTTTTGAATAAACATACACAGAGAAAATATTTTATAAAATGATTAAATAATACATAATCTACGATTTATTTTTTAATAATATTCC